GGCCAACCATCTTCTTCCGACCAAAATAGCCAACCCCCCTCCTCCGGCCAATCTGGCCAAAGCCTCTCCGCCGGCCAAGCCGGCCAGGCCTCATCCTCCAACACCACCCTTCCACCGTCCTCCACCACACCTTCTTCCACCCTTGTCACTTCCCTTCCCGTTTCCCTCCCCTCCTCACAACCTACTACAAGCACTTCCACCACTACACGAACCACTCCCCTTCGCCTCTCCTCCCCCCTCACCCAACCTCTTCTAACTACTTCCACCGTCCCCTCTGTCCACCCCTCTTACTCCTAAGTCCTTTCGGGCGTTTACCCCGCCATACCCCAACCTCCTCCTTGCTACCTCCTTGGTGACCGCAGTCAGGATCACACCTGCTACGACACCTCTCCCGACGACCGCAACTTCAACACCCTCGCTTGCATCGTCCCCCGCAACGGAGACATTCCCCGCTCCTTCCGCGCCACCGATATCGCGACGTTCTCTGGCCTCCCCCACGAGGACGTCCTCCTTTTCTTCTCTCAAATTCAAAATGCCTTCGATCTCCACAACATGCCCCTCACTCATTGGCTCCCCACCGCAACCTCCCGCCTCCAAGGCGCCACCGCTCAATGGTGGTTAACCGAAGCCAACAACCGCCGAGCCAACGGCCTTCCCTGCATCACCTTCCTTCAATGGGCCGACCTTCTCATCGCCACCTTCCGTCCGCAAAAGACCATCGATGACTACATCGATCAATTTTGCAACCTCCGCCAAACCGGCCCCACCGAGCGATTCATCCAATACGGTCGTTCCCTCCGCCTCCACATCCCGTCGACTCTCATTCCCGATTACGTCTTCATCTCCCGCATCAAGCGGGTATGCTTCCCCCACCTCGCCACAGCCCTCGCCCATGAGCCCGAGCTCCCTCTCACCGATCTCCTTACCCGCCTTCTCCACCATGATCGCCTTCCTCACCTCTACTCTCAACGACCAGCCGCCCCCAACCGCACCCGGTTTTTCCACAACATGGCCTCCGACAACTCGTCACTCCCCTCCGACGACGGCCTTGACTCCTCTCCCGAGTCCCTTGACCCAGCCCAATTCACCGAGGAAGACTTCCTGGCTGTCCATCTCATGAGGATGGAACGACAACGCCTGGCCTCCCAGCCTTCCTCCTCCCCCCAACCCCCTCGTCTCAAAAAGCTCGCCCCCGCCGAACGCGCCTTCCTCCAGGCCAACGGCGGTTGTTTCCGTTGCCGCCAGTTGGGGCGTCAGCAAACCAATTGCCCCAAGGCTGGCCGCTCCACCCACCAGGCTTCCCGCCTCACCGGATCCAGCCCTCCCACATCCACTTCCTCCTCCTTCACCGCGGCCTCTGGACCCTCCTCCACTTGAACACTGTCCCCCCGCCCCTTGTAGCCATGTCCTGGCACCAACAATTCGTCTGCCAACCCCTCCCCTGGCGACGACTTTCACACCAGACACCCCCCAGGCGTCGCAATCTACTCCGCCTGCCCTCCTCCCGACGACGTCCTCTATTCCGTCGGCTGAGCACCCCACGACCACATGTTCCACTACCCTCCTCCCCAACCCCTCCACCATCACTTTCTCCGATCTCGTTGCGGAACAAGATCGACACACTCGGCTTGTTAGATTAGGCCTCGAGCAGCGCCGCCTCAACGCCATGATCTCCTCCGCTTGTGCCGGGACCGCCCAGTTCCAGCTCAAGTTCGTCACCGTCTCCTTTGGAGCATCGACGGTGAAGTTTCGGGCCCTTCTCAACATTGGTGCCACCAGTTTCATCACGGATGCCTGTCTCCACAAAATCGGCCTCTCTTCCACCGACTATGATTCCCCGATCACCATCCGCCTAGGGGATAAGGACTCAGCCATCGTCGTCGACCGCACAATCCCCGAGACCACAATGATTGTCGGCCCTCTTCGCAATCAGGTCTCCTTCGATGTCATGCACCTCATGTGCGACATCGTACTTGGGACTCTTTGGCTCGACCGCTACATGCCCTATACCTTCCACCCCTCTTTCATCCGCCTCTCCACCCCTTCCCCCGTCTCTCCTCACCAATTTCTTCACATGACCCATGAGCACCCCGACTCCGCCTACTATTGCCTTGTCATTGACCGCGACCGTCCCGAGGACTTGCTTCCAACGGACAAACCCGACCAAGAACCCCCCTCCGACCCTCAGATCTCCGCCCTCCTATCCGAATTCAAAGACGTGTTTCCCAAATCCTTGCCCGTCGGACTACCTCCCGACCGAGGTGTTTCCCACACCATCGATCTCGAGCCCGACCACTCCCCCCCTTGCCGCCCCCCATACCAGCTCTCTGTCCCCGAGGCCGAAGAAATGAAGCGCCAGCTCAATGAACTCCTTGAAAAAGGATTTATTAAGCCTAGCTCCTCCCCCTTCAGAACCAGCTGTCTCTTCGTCAAGAAGAACGGCACCTCGGAACTCCGCATGTGCACAGACTACCGCGCCTTGAACTGGATCACGATCAAGAACAAGTATCCGCTTCCCCGGATATCCGAACTTCTTGATCGCCTCCGTGGAGCCGAATACTTCACCAAGATCGACATCCGCAGTGGCTTCCACCAGATCCGCATCCGCGAGAAGGACACCCACAAGACCGCCTTTCGCTCCCGCTTCGGGCACTACGAGTTTCTCGTAATGCCTTTCGGTCTCACCAACGCCCCCGCCACATTCTAATCCACCATGAACCACATCTTCCGCGACCTCCTCGAAGTCTGTGTCGTGATCTACCTCGACGACATCCTTGTTTTTAGCCCCACCTTCGAGTCCCACCTTGATCATCTCCGCCAAGTTCTCGCCATCCTCCGCGACCAGAAATTCTACGCCAAGCTCAGCAAATGCACATTTCCTGCCTCTAGTCACATTGTCTCCGCCGACGGCATCCGTATGGACCCCAAAAAGGTCTCTGCCCTCGTCGAGTTCCCCCCTCCCACCACTTTAACCCAACTTCGCTCCTTCACGGGACTCGCCAACTACTACCGCCCCTTCATCCGCAACTTCTCCGACGTTTCCTACCCTCTCCATGAGCTCACCCGTGCCACCGAACCCTTCGCTTGGACAGACCGCCGCTAAGCCGCCTTCCCAAACTCAAGGAGCTCATCACCACTGCCCCCGTCCTCAAAATCGCCGACCCCACTCGCCACTTCTTCGTCACCACGGATGCCTTCGACTTTGCCATCGGAGCCGTCTTATCCCATCACTTCCCCCCGACCCCGCGGAAACCCCCTCCATCAAGGACTCCCCTACTCACTCCCAATGCCCACCCGGCGAGCACCCCATCGCATTCGCCAACAAGAAACTCCTTCCCGCAGAAATGAACTACCCATCCAACGAGAAGGAGCTCCTCGCCGTGGTCTACGCCCTCAAAGTCTGGCGCCCGTACCTCGACGGGCAATACTTCACCATCCGTATCGATAACACCGTCGTCTCCTCCATCTTGACCAAGAAAGACATCACCCCGCGCCAAGCCCGCTGGCTAGACTTCCTTGCCCAATATACCTTTACCATTTGTCACACCCCTGGCAAGAGCAACCGCGTTGCCGATGCCCTCTCCCGCTGCCCCGATCACAAACCCCCCGAGAAAGTCTATGCCGCCATGACCCACATCCAGCTCCGACCATCGCTCCGCCATCGCTACACCCAAGGATACCTCTCTTGCCCTTACTTCTCCACCATCTACAACAAACTCCACGACCTCGACCCCGTCCTCGACTACCCCCTACATGACAACCTCCTTTACATCGAGACCAAAGGCACTCGCCGACTCTGCATCCCTAACTCCCATGGCCTCCACACCCAACTCTTGGCCAAGCACCACGACGCCAAGACCGCTGGCCACCTTGGTTTCCAGAAAACCTTTGACACCATCTCCCGATATTTCCATTGGCCTTCTATCCTTGCCGACGTCAAAGCCTACATCCGCTCGTGCCCCACATGTCAGGCTGTCAACCCCTCGAACCGGGCCAAACCCGGTAAGCTCCAATCATTGCCCATCCCCACGCATCGATGGCAGTCCGTTTCCATGGACTTCGTCTGCGGTCTTCCCAAGACCGACCGCGGGCATGATTGCATCTACGTCATTGTTTGCCGCCTGACCAAACGTGCTCATTTCATTCCTTGTACCACCTCGCACAATGCCAAAGACATTGCCATTCTCTTCTTCGACCATGTCGCCCGACACCACGGCGTCCCCGAGAATATCATCAGTGATCGTGACCCCCGCTTCCTCTCCTAATTCTAGAAACAACTCTTCCATGCCTACGGAACCACGCTCAGGTACAACACTGCATTCCACTCACAGATCGACGGACAAACTGAGAAGATGAACGATACTCTCCAAAGAATCCTGCGGAAGTATTGTCATCCCCACCAGCATGATTGGGATCAGCTGCTCACCGCCGTCGAGATTGCCTACAACAATGTCGTTTGCCCTTTCACCGACATGCCCCCCTTTTACCTTGACCTTGGCTATCATCCCTGCTTGCCCTCTGATTTCTTGCTCCCCTCTCAACTCAACCCATCCTCCCCCTGCCCCTCTCTCAATGAATGGGTTGCAACAATGAACCGTCTCCTAAGAGAAGCAACCGAGTCAATCCAACACACCCAGGAACAACAAGCTAAACAAGCCAACAAGCCAACAAGCATCGTCGTGATATCACCTTCCAAGTAGGGGACAAGGTCTAGCTCTCCGCCAAACGCTTTGAACCCGAACAGGGCTTGTCCAAGAAACTCTCAAACAAGTGGCTCGGTCCCTTGCCCATCGTTGAACAAACCTCCCCCGTCAATTACAAACTCCAGCTTCCCCCTGACATGAGTCGTGTCCACCCTGTCTTCCATGTCGAATCCCTCAATCCTCAAAGAATACCATGAATCCCTGCCACAGTTCTCTGATCGCCCTCACCCTCGTCCCCCTCCTATCATGCTCCCCACTGGACCTGAATTCTCCGTGGAATCCATCATTGGCCGTAGAACAACCCAATTCGCTGATCACCCGGAACAAATCAAAGAATACAAAGTCAAGTGGACAGGCTACCCGGATGAAGAATCAACATGGGAACCCCTTAAAAATCTCAAGAATGCCATGAGACTTGTCCGTGCCTATGATTGTTCCCACCCTGCATCCTAGCTATCCCCCTGCCTATACCTTGCTAAAACCCTAAACCCTTGCTTAAACCCTGCTACAACCTCGCCACCTTGTTCTACACACACCCCTGCCGCAGCCACCCTTGCCCTTGACCCCGATTCCTGATGTCTGATCTGCCCTTGTCCCTTGCCTAGCCCTGCCCCATTCGCCCTCCCCGCTTCCTTGTCCATCTTGTCCAATGCTTGTGGACCTGCGTGACGCCGACGATAAAGGATCTAATGGCATGCGCACGAGGATGATGGCTTGCTGCACCACTGTTCCTGGAGATTATGCAGCTGGATTGGCCGCCATGCTGCTACACCTGGCCGGCACCCTGCCTCGCAGACAACCTGGAGCAGCTACTTGTGACATGAACCATGTACCAGTCTGCGACTTCCTTGCTACCGGATCAGACTTCACTGCAGATCATGTACCGGACGTGCCCACAGCCATCGAACATGGACCTCTTGACTTTCCATGCATCAACACTCAGCATCTTGTTTCTCCTTGACGAAGACCATTGAAGACCCCCCTTGCCACTGACCAGACCTTTGCAGTTCGCCTTGCTTCCATCATCGACCTGAACAAGACCTTTGCAGTTCGCCTTGCTTCCATCATCGACCTGACCAAGACCTCCTTCAAGACCCCTATTGCTGCCGCTGGCCTGGGACTGCTCAAGACTTCCGAAGACCCCTTCTTGCTGCCGATCAAGACACTTGAAGACCTCCCCCAGACCCCGTGACCCATTGCAGACCTCCGACCCTGTACCCACATCCCATCAAACATCCCAGCCCTTGTACATGCAAACTGTGCCCTTGAACCTTGCAACAAACAATTTTTATTTTTTCTATTATTATTTTTATTTCATCCCCTAACAACCTATAACCCTGTAGAATTTCCACTGAAATACCCGTTCACCCTTGTAGAACATCCATAGGAAACCCTGTTACCTGCTCTCCCTTGTAGATCATCAATAGGAAACCCTGTTACCTCTTCACCCTTGTCAACCATCTAAAGGACTACCCTGTTCCCCCTGCAGCACCCCTAGGTCATCATTAGCAGATCCTTGTTTCCCTAACCATTGTTTCCCTTACCCAGTAGAACTTCAATAGAAGTCCCCTGTTCCCTGAACTTTGTTCCCCCTTAACCTATACTTAGGACTACCCTGTTCCCTGCAACCCCCCTAGTTCATTAGTAGGACAACTCTGTTCACCGGTACCAAACCCTATTCCCTCTTACTCACGCAGCCCATGCCACCCACATTATACCCCTCTTCCCTTTCAATTTGTTAACCAGTGATCGGCCCCGTCCCGTCCTTCACAGATTTCAGCATTGCTTCATGATTTTTGCCAGTCGGGACGTTGCCTTCTAGAGGGAGGGGATAGTGTTACGGACTCCGCCAGGGCTCGATCCCTGGCTTATCTTTTTGTTGTTTCGGATGCATCCCGTTTTTGGCCTGGCACCATTTTTCCAAACCCCTCCTTTGGTACCGTAGGATTTTGGACAACTGGCGCCATGCTGCAATTCGGGCGCCACTTTCAAATACCGCATTTTTTCAGTTCTGCCCTCGGGGCCTTTGCAAAAATGGCCCTGGTTCCGTATGTGTCACCGGTACTTATTCCGGCTCCCCGTACGGTACGGGGACCAGTCTGGTACCAATTTTCTGCCGCTGTACTCGTACTCAGTGTGACCTGCTGTTTGGGCCTTCGAAACCAAGACTTCGACTTTGTGACTCAGCCCCTGGTTTGCGTCCAATCCAGTTCAGTCGCGTGAGTGAGTGAGTGAGTGGGTGTGCTCTCACTCTCTCTCTCCCTCTGCTCCCTCCTCGTCCTCTGCCTCTGCACTCGTTACACCACTCCCACAAAACACCGACATACACACACCACCAAAGCTAAACTACACTCCTAGCAAAGCCCATTAACACTAACCACAACAACCCAAATACACTAGATAAACACAACAAGAGCACTCGTAACCCCAACCCAAAGGCCCCCCTTGTGTACAGGAAGGCAAGTATGTTGCTACCTTCTTATACATGTAAACACACAGTTAGATACATATATATATATGACGATATATATATATAGATATAGATATAGATATATGTGCACATTATATGAATGCAGGCCGCTGCTGCAACTCGCGAAAAACGCCTAGTTAACCAATAAACGCAAAGTTAAAATAAACCACAAACCACTGAATTTCTTTCAACCCCCCCCCCCCCCCCCCCCCGGAAAGAAAAAAAAAACTCCCCCCCACCCGCTCGCCCTACACCTATGCCCCCCTAACCAAAAACACAACTCCCGTCCTTCTACACATGTGGGCACAAGAGCCAGAACCCCCCATACTAAAACACAATGCCCCAACAAAAAAGCAAAAAGGTAGAAAACAAAAAGACAAAAAAAGGATCACGTACATCGAAGAATACACAAAGTGACAAATCAACCATCCCCTAACCCACAGCCCGCCACACGCTGCTCTAAAATGCGGAGGACGCAGATAACCTTTTATGTTCTCCCCCCGAAAAAAATGCTATGATACGCCCAGAGGACACCTCACTGCCTACACTAGCGTACAAAAGTCGCACAGAACGAAACGAACAACGCACATGCCACATCGCTTGCACATGGACAGATGCACCAGCAGCACAACACAAAAAAACGTGCAAAATCCCCCCACGTAACGCACGCGGATCCTCATATCCCATCATCGCAGCACCACTACAGTTCATCAATCCCCTGGCGCACAAAGCTACTGCGACGTATTGAAACTAACACTGACGTTTTGTGTTACCCCCACTCCATCTAGACCTGACCGCATCCCGATATGGAATCTTGTTCCTCCCCTATCCCCCACCTTGTTTGAGATACCTCACCAGTGTCACCACCCCTAATCCCACTGCCCCAGTCCAAACCTCCCAGAAACGCGCACAATACCTTTGCCCGTATTCCGACCGCGCTATACCCCCCCTCTGCTCATACCTACCTCAGTCACACACCACCGCTACCGCCGCCACAATGTGTATCATACCACTCTTTTTAAGCGTTGGCCAATGAGTACCTGGACATCTCCGCTCAGCGCCACCCACTGTTGGCGACAACTGCCGTTCTTGCACTACCTCATCTCTCTCTCTCCCCCGGTATCTCCTCAGACTTGGTACTACAAGTGGAGCTTCTCCACCCTCCATAGCTACCTGAGATAGGAGGATGCCTCTCTTCGTCCCTAGCAGCTGCTAGTACTCCACAACGGTGGGCGAATGGAGCTGCAGTGAGCTGTGATCGGCAGAACACAAGCTGTGAAGCCTGACAGTGCGACACATTGGGTGGTCTCGACCAAGAGATCGTGGTCAGAGATGGCGGCCATGGATGAGTTTCTTGCTGAGGTCAATGCCAACGAGCACATGGTAAGTCCTCCATGGTGCCCCCACTGCACGAACTCTTACCACAATATCACTACCTAAATCTGCGAGCAGAGGAATCTCACCCTCTGATGAGCCGTGATCAGTGCAAGCGGCGAAAAACGCCTTAGGGGATGCGCCACTGCTCCTCCACCAGCAATGAAGCTAGTGTTTGATGGCACTGACCATCGTGCTCCCCCTTTCTTCCTTCCTTCTCTCTTCCCTTGATCCTCTTTCCTCTCTCTACATGTTATTTATTGTGCCACCCACCCGACAGCTGCAAGGATTTTGACTACGACACCATGGCAACAAGGTACGTTTGTACTTTGGCTAGTAGATTGATGGTTTACCAAAGCATATGGAGGTTCTTAGTAATTGGGTTGCTATGGTTGCTTGTTGCACATCTTACACACCCAAAACACACACACACACACACACACAGACACAGACACACACACACACACACACACACGCGCGCGCGCGCGCGCGCGCGTGGGGGAACGTGTGTCAATCAATCAATCAATCAATCAACCAGCCAATCACAATCAATCAATCAATCAACCAGCCAATCACAATCAATCAATCAATCAATCAATCAATCAGTATGTGTATAAAAAATGGAAAAAAAAAAAAAAAGTTTTTAGCTTCTTTTTTCCATTACTTCCTTTTGTTTCTTTATCTTTCCATCCGTTGTAAAAAAAAAGAATCAACGAAATATGTACACCATGTTTATCCTACCAGCAAACGCAAAAAAATGCGAAAAAAAAATCATGTTTTTAATTACGTTTTTTTTTATTAGAATTTTTTCGGTTTCTATTTAAAGTGCAATCAGACTCGTCTCATTCACACTTTTCATGCGTGTAAACAGCAGCACATGGCACCCAGGTAAGAGTTCACTTCCACTTCCTATGGCGACTCAGCGCCCAACAACTCACTGTTCACACACCGGATCCCCCTGGATATCCCACACGCATCACTCCGAACACTCACACAACACACACACACACCGGCTACAGCTATGGCAGCTATGGCTGCCTCTACGCTATCGCTATGCTAAGCTCCTCTGGCCCACTTCGACTTCGGGCACACTGCAGACCTCCTTGCACAAGCCGCTGAGAAAGCGCTTCCGCATGGCTTCCGCAGGAATCAATGAATGGCTGTGCGCGGCCTCTTGATTTATACTTTTGTTGCTCATCGGCCTGCCCTGTTTCCCTGGCCCACGGTGTACACAGTCCCGAGCGGTACTTGCTTGACTGGACCGGACTGACTGGACTGGGACTGCTGACTCGGCGTGGTGGACTTCCACCACTTGCCCACTTGCCTTGACCTACAGTGGGCTTGACTCCGAAAGGCCACTTCTAGAAGTATCTACTTGGCCTTTCGGTGCTGTAGCAGCTACGACCTTGCCCTTTCAGGTGAGTAGCGGCTGCGACTTTGACCCTTCAGAAAGTCTACAACTAAGACCTCTAGACTCTCTAGACTCCTACCCGACAGGTCTACAGTTCGAATCCCCTATACCGTGTAACCTACGATGACCTACCTACCACTGACGGTCCTACAGGTCGCAGGTTCAACTCTACGGGTCGACACAGGTACTGTACACAGGTAAGGTGGGGAACTAGGAATCGAGCCCTGGGATCTGCATCAACTACTGCAAACTGGTGAATACCGTTTCACTCCCGCCGGCCTAAATTCGAGGTCCTCCGAGAATATTTCAGTCCAAGGCAGGACCTTTACCCTTTCTGTCCTTTTTGTAGGCCCTGACTATGTCGGGAGCTGTTTCTAGAAGTTTAGATCTAGTGAACCACCGGTCATCTTCTGGTTCCTGATATGCAAATCTGACCTTATACTATTTCTGAGGACGACCTCGACCTCCTGTTCTAAACACGTCTTCACCTACAATGTCGTCAATGTCGTGCCTCCCATCCATGTCTGGAGGGATCATGGAACGTCTTGATGGAAACTGATCACTTACTGTGCATGGCAACAACTTTGACGAATGGAAAACTGGGTAGGTGTGGAGGTGTAGTGGAATCTCTATCGAGTATGACGGAACATCCTCTCCGCCCTTGACTTCTAGAACTGGCCACGGTCCTCTATATGCGGGCAATAACTTTTGCGAGATATTCTCCTCATGAGCAAACTCTTTAGCCTTGACCCAGACTAAGTCACCTACTTGGAACTGTGATGGGCGACGATGTTTGTTGGCTTGCTCTATCATTCTATGCTGGGCCTTCCTGAGGTTCTCTACAATAGTAGCTAGTTCTTTCTCGTGTTGTATAGCAAACTCCCTAGTACCGGGCGGTAGCCTGTGAATTTGATCCCGGTTAAGTCCTTCAAACAGTCTGCGCGGCCTAAAGGACTT